CTCTAAGACCGGTAGGTCGTCTCCAGGTTTCAGTTGACGTTTCAAGTAGGCAAATATTCGCTTGGGTGCAGTTGCGGCCGAGGATGCTAGTTCCTATTCGAACTGCCGGCGTTTCTTGATCTTTGCGGCGTTACATAAGTTACGCTCTTTCTTGTACACCGCGTAATCTTCATCACAACCCGAGCTGATGTATTTATCCCAAAGTTTACGACGTCGTCGCGCTAACTGTCTGTAATCCCTATCAAACCAATGCGGTTTGACAGGTCCGATTTTTGGATACTTAAGGGGAACGAACCGAGTACAGAGCGAGTTAAGCTTCCCCTTTATTAATGACCACCACGCCTCAAGTGACGCATCATGTGGTAGTGTCCAATCAGTCTGACTTGCGGTTTGGACAAGTCCGTTGAAGTCCGTCTTCCAATAGTTGAATGTCGGCTTCTGTTGATTGTAATATGGTAACGACAGTTCTAAGCTTGCTATAATAGAGAAGTGGTCACTGTTCGCCAGAGGTTCGATGCCTCTGATCTCTTTTAGCTTCTGCTCGCAGCTCGTAAACATTAGGTCCAGACATGATGCCGAGTACGGAGTTACACGCGTCGGTTGGATGACATGTTGCGTTGCCCCAATTTCAATAGTCATTTTAGCGAATTGAGCCTCAACGTTGCCATGACCGGGAAGAAGTCGAACATCTGGCCAAATTATCTTAGGTAAATTTAGATGCCCCATCGGTAAGAAGTGAGGGCGGCTCATGTGCTTCTGTACATGTGGTATCCAATCGCAGCAACGGTTTAATGGGCTCCGGTAGATAACCCCCACAATTAGTTCTGCGCGCCTGAGACGGATTGTGCACCACAATTGCTCGCATAAACTATCCTCGCTCCGATAGGTACTGATACGTTTGCCAGATAGTGACGATTTTATGTACAACAGAACACCACCGTGAGCCTTTGATTTTCGGTCACATCGGAAACAAGAGTATCCTGACAACACGACTTCTTGGGGTAAGATGTCGGAGTTCAACCATGTCTCTGCAAGTCCTAAAATGTCCGGCCGCTCCGAGACAGCGAAGCGGCACAGTTCGTCACGTTTGTTCATTAGGCTGCACACGTTGGCGAATGCGACACGGAGGTCCTGGGAGGTACTGCGGGACGTGCCTGGAGGTTGAGCAACTGATTGATACGGGTTCGTACACCCTTCTTGATCACCCGAAAATTTACAACTTGTAAGTCAGTCTCACCTTCCTCTGTACGGCGTTTGAGTTCAATGACCGCAGTCTTCAAACGATCCCTGTCCTCGGGTTCCAAATCTCGGCGGATGTGAACTTTTATGCCTTTCAGCCTTGACAGACGAGACAGTATGAGCTGCGGCATATTAGGATTTGCAAAGGTGATCCTCAGAGGTCGACATGACTGGTTAGTTTTCTGGCCAAGTCGGATTACTTGTTTAATCGTCACACTGTCCTCGCCCACATCCAAGAGTCTATCGATGAGCCCCTGGAGGAACTCAACATCGTGATCATAACGTATCTGAGGGTTTTCATCTTTTGACTCCGGTACGTGGAAGACCATGAGATTATGACGCCTCAGCGAAATCAGTGATGAACCTGTGGGAGCAGAACTAGAGGCGCTTGACTGATTGGGTAGTTGTTTATCAGCAGGTGACGTTTGAACTCGATTACGTGGGCCCTTGCGCTTCTGAGTGGTCCATGGATCCTCGGTGTTCAGCAGTTCACAGACAGGCTCTGAGAAATTCACGGACCGATCAGTGAAGCGGCATTTCGTAGCTTCCGAGTCTTCCATAGGTGGGAAACATTGAACCTGGGGTTCGGCCGGGGTCGAAGACGCTGGTGGTGGTGCAGATCGCGGAGTGACAATAGAAGGCGAGGTGACAGAGGTACTTTCACGAGGGCGTTTGATCCCACGTGGTGAACGGTTTGTTCCTATCTGAAAGAGAGATTTTTCCGTAGTTGTTTGCGGTCGCTGCGTATTCTGATGTCTTGTACCGCGACATTTATCACATATAACTTGAAAAAACCGATGTTGGATGTCGAGCGATTTTCGAAACACGTCAACGGATAAGCCAATGCACGAAATATGGAACAAAACATCACAGCTGTAGCATCGAAGTGCATGAGCCTTATTTCCCACAACTTTCGAACACGAACCACAAGTAGCTTGAGACGGCATCACAAGCTAGAGCAAATCTAAGATGGCGGACAGAGATGGTAGTATGGCAAATCAGTGAGATCTCCGGAATAAGCCGAAGAATAGCTCCCAAATTTGCACCGCTCGGAAAATACGCCAAAAGAAGAATAATGGTGCACAATTCACACAGATAAAACGCTGCAAACACAGTAATCTGAGGTAAAAGTAGTACCCAGCACACGTTGATCCAAAAATCCGCGGCGTCCGTGGGTACAGCTGATAAATTTTCATGTTCGTGCGAGAGCCGATATATGCACAGAACTTGTAAAGGTGGTGTCGGTCAACTTGCCAATGTGATAGGGGCGGTGAATTTATTGAGTGGCGAGTCACATCCGCCACGTCGCAGTGTTGTTAAGCAGACCTTTGTGGCTTTTTGTAGGGAAAACGCTTGCCAGACGAAGACCCACCATGTCCTGGAACACCGCCGAGGTCGAACTAGAAAATAAGGGCGTTACGGCGGACCGTCCAAGGTACAATCAGCTCGTTCCACGCCTTCCTCCGTCGGTAGTGACGCTGATTGAGGACATTCTACTCTGCACATCGAATGAGGCAAAGTACGAAACGCTGAAGCAAGCGATTTTGAAAGAGTTACGGCCCAGCGCACGAACTCGATTTGAACAGCTGGATGGTCTCAAGCTTGGAGATCGCAAGCCGTCGGCGTTGCTCCTCGAACTTCAGCGCATTGTTGGTCCCTTATTCTTGAGCGAAGGAGGGATAAAGGAGCTGTGGTTTGCACGTCTTCCAGAGCCATTGCCGGTAATGCTGCTATGTTTATAGACACACCCCTGAAAGAATTAGCTTCCAAGGCAGACGCTGCGTTCGAACGTCTTCCGCAGCAGGCTACCAGTAGTTCCGGTGACGTATTCTCACCGATGAAAACCGAATATCATGTTCGTTCCCAGTCGTTCTGTCGATCTGACTCTTAAGACGAGGAAATTGCGCTACCGCGCAGCAAGATAGCAGCAAAGAAGGCTTCGAAGCAGCGTGTGCCACGGTCAGTTGCTGACCAGGTTTTGTTAACCGTTCACTGCGGCTCGTCTGTGCCTGCACCGAGTACGTCACTTTCGGCACGAAAGCGCAACATTTTCCCTACAAGTTCCCAGTCACATAATGTCAAGCACGTCTAAGCAGTATGTTGGTATCACCGCCAATACGGTGGAAGAGCTAGAGGTTGTCGGGCACTCTGCATTAGGCACGACCCAGCTGCTTCAGGGAAAACGAATAGCCCGCATACTAGCACTACAAACGCATCATTCAATAACCAAGCAAACCGACTGTTTTACGTTAAGGATCGACGTTCTTCCATCACGTTCCTCATCGGTACGGAAGCGGAAGTAAGCGTCATCCCAGCGACCGATAACGACAAGCACTCAGAGCCTAGGTACAATTTGCGTGCGGCCAACGGTTCTCCGGTAGCTTCATTCGGTCAGCGCATGATGAACCTGGACCTCAATCTTCGCCGAGAGTTTCAGTGGGTCTTCATGGTTATGTCTGTACCCTTCGCAATTATCGGTATCGACTTCCTCCGACATTTTGGTTTGCTTGTTGATGCTGGTCGCCACAGAATTTTAGACGACCATACTAAAATAGGGTTGAAGGCGTTCTTACGTATGCCCCGATAATCAGTCTCGTTGTAGCGCTTGTAAATTTACTTATCTTTCATTGTACATTCCTTTCCTATTACAACCAATTCTTGTACATTAACCTTATATACTTGTTTTGATTGAGAAATAACACACTTTTTGAACCACGCGGGCAACTCGACGTGTTCTCTCTGTGTTCTTGTGTCGCGGATTTTATGGCATTGTCGATCACTACGTTCTAACCTCGAGCAATATTCATCTACAGATCTCGTTCCGTCTCAACTGGTTTCACCATCCTCGTCGTTGCAATCCATCGGAGTGGCTGACGCAAGAGGACTAGGAAATTTTACGTGGTTGGACTTCTAACCCTTGTCGAACCCTTCTGTGAGTCTTGTCATTTTTGATCATCATTCATTCATCTTTATTTCTCTTTGGGTCCGAGTCCACTACATAATTGGTGACCCCGAATTTTTCTTAGCACTTCATTTTTTGTAAGCTCAGAACTCCCAGTATTTTTTTGCACGACTACTATGGAATCAGCTCTGGTTGATTGGATTCCAATCAGTAGCCGTATGTATGCGGTGCGATTGGCTGGCTCTTTCAAAACGTCGAAGGCGCGTGGGACTAACAGTTGTCTATTAGCTATCGCTGCCTGCGCACCGACAAACTTTAGCAATGACTCGGCGAAAGACGACTTCTATCGTCAAATGACCCAGCTCCTTCGCAACAGAAGAAGCACGGACCCTGTTGTGCTGGCCAGGGATCAGAACGCTCAATTTGGAAATTATCCACTGATGAGCTGAATCTGGGCGGTCAACATGGTGTAAACTCCGTAATGATAACGGTGAGCGGTTACTTCATTTGTGTGAGGATGCTCGCTTATTTCTTGCGCGCACTAATTTCCGACACAGCACCCGCCGGAGGGCGACTTAGCGCCCACCAGCCTTGGACGCAGATCGATCACATTGCTATTAGTTACCTCTGGAGAGGCTGCATCCAGAATTGTCGCTCCATTTGGAGCACATGTGTGGACACCGATCATGCACTTGTATGTGCTGACATGCGGATGCGCTTTGGCGGACGCCCACGACGATGTGAGCGCATTGACACCAGCCAACTGGCGAAGCCAGCTGTTTTGAACGCCTATTAAGGTACGCTGCCAAGCGAGTTGGATAAACGCTCAATGGAGGAAATAGGAGGTCACTTGTATCACATGCACCAGATCTTACTTGCAGCAGACAAATCCTCATGTGGTATGTCTAATCGCCAACATGGACATTGGGTCTCTTCTCGGTCTCTGGAACTTATCGACGCTCGCCGGCATATGCCGGCTGGAAGTGAACACACTGAAAATCGCAAAGAACTCTTGGCAAACCTCCGTGCTAGCCTGAAGAGAGACCGCGAATCTTGGTGGTCTGTGCGTGCGTCAGAGATGGAAGTGGCCGCTGCCCTTGGTAACCATCGTAAGCTATTCTGTCTGATAGGGGAAGCGGGCAGCAGGAGACCTGGTGTTAGTGAAACCATTTGTGACGAGAGTGGACAGTCTATACACAACTTGTCAAAACGCTTGGAGTGCTGGGCTGTGCACTTAGCAAAGCAATTTAATCGGCCGGAATTAGATTTCTCGCCGGCCACTGATCGCCTCGCTCCGTGGGCTGTCCCATCGGATCCACCCTCTCGCTCAGAAGTCGAACTTATACGTTGTATACATGTATACTTGCGCTCCATCCGTCCTCTGTCCTTTCTTCATGAAACCTTTCTCAACTCCCTTCTGTGGAGCAAACATAACTCATGTGGTCTGCGCACAGTTGCTCTTTAGCCTCTCCCTTCTAAACGTTTATTTATCCGTTGCTCGCTACAACATCTGTAGGGCCTGCTCATGCGGGAGTCCAGACCTTTCACTGGAAATTTCCGGCTCAGTCTACCTTAGCACCAAAATCATAGCACCCTAACCCGACTCAGTATCTGCGCGTCTCTTACTCATATGCTGCGACGTCCACAGTAAACGTACTGCAATCATGCATTCTGTCTGTTTGATATCCTTCCTTCATATAACCTTTTAAGCTTTCGCCTAGCACTCCTTCCTAACTCATTAGGAAAGCGCAAATCCCCTCCTTAGCCTCTCTATTCTAGGTGTTCTCATACCTCTTAATTGTTGTAACGTCTTTGACTTTTCACCTTTAAGCGTCTCGCTCCCGGACTAGCTTTTTTGGCTCAATACAAAGTAGTGTTATCCCATCCCCCTAGCATGAATTGTGTATTTACGCGCCGTCGTGCTTCGACATCATCATTATACATGTCAGCTAGAAGTGGTAAAACACCTCCGCTATTGTACCGAAATACATAAGGGAAATACATACATACAATACATAAAGGAAAAATAAATACGACAGTTGCATGCTAGCTGAGCTACTAGCAACGGATAGGCTTCGTTCTGTTAAGCCACCATCCAGCTACTAGGCGAAAAATATTATGTTTTACCCCACGAAACGAGATCCTAGATGGAGGGGATGTTAAAAGGGCTAGGGAGGGACAAATAAACTCACAGCAGGAACGCCACTGAGGTCGGCTCCTTGCCATGCCAGCAAGTGTATCCAGCGAAACGTGTTCTTCGTCCTTTGGTCCCCAAACAGGGAGCCGTGAAGCTCCAACCGAGGCTAGCTCCAAAGTGAGGGCCTTCATTCCTCTGAACCAAGTCATCACTTGGCCACCCCTCCTCATCTTCCACCCACATCCCCGGTGAGCAAACAGCGCACGTCGTGGGAATCGGTGGGCTGGCATGCGCAACACGTGACCGAGCCATCGGAGCCTGGTGCGGAAAATAACGGTGCTCAGCGGATCATTTTCTTTTCCTGGGCCTTAAACAAGGCGTAGAACACGCCCGTTACTCACGTGGTGTTCCCACTAGATGTGAGCCAAACTGCGAAAGCACGGATGGTCGAACATAACTAGCCTCTTCATATCCGCCGATCTTAGAAGCAATGTTTCGCAACCGTACAGTAAGGTCGAAGGTACCGCTGCATTGTACACTCTACCATTCAGGGCAAGATTAATGTCGCGCCGCCGTCATAAGTGGCGAAGGTTAGCAAAAGCATTTCGAGCTTTCGCTAGACGGTTCCTGAACGCGTCTTCGATCCCAAGGAGGCTGATACAGCTTCTTGGGTAATTGAATTTCTGAACGACTTCTAGCTGATTTTTACCAAGGGTCAGCACAGGGGGAGATCCCTGCCAATCTTGGAGGAACGCTTTGCACTTCGGTGGTGCAAAGCTAGGCCCGAAGCGACTGAGAGCCAGTGCTAATCTGTCCAGCGAGGCTTGGCACGTCTGGGAGCTGTCACAGATGAGGGCAATGTCGTCTGCATACTCCAAGTCAAGAGGTCGTTCTCCTGGGCGTAGCTCCACACCTTCCAAGTCATGTCCTGTAAATGCAAACTCCATGACTTCGTCAATAGCGAAGTTGAATAGGAAAGGTACAGCAGGCATCACTGTCTCACACCGCTGGAGATATTGAAGAGTGGCGACAGGTTGCCGTAAGCCCTCACTCTGCCCGTGCTACGCGCATATAATGCTTGGATAATATTTACATATTTCTCGGGCACACCTTCCCTGAGTAGGCAATTCCAAAGGGCACAGCGATCAACCGAATCGAAGGCGCCTTTGATGTCGAGAAACACGAATACGGTGGGCTGCCAATATATGTGACGGTGCCCCAACAAGTGACGCAAGGTGAAGATGTGGTCGATGCAGCCAGGACCTCGACGAAACCCGGTTTGCTCCTCACGAATCTGGCTTTCACGAGCCCCAGTCAATCTGTGAAGAATTATGGAGGCGAGTAATTTGGAGGCGATGGAGATCAGACTGATTCCTCTATGGTTGCCGCATTCCGAGCGCAAGTCGCCTTGGAAGATGGGAGCAATAACGGAGCGGCTGCAGTCGGTTGGGACAGTATCCTGCTCCTACTGTTTCACTAGTAATTCATGTAAAGCTTCAACAAGAGCACAGCCTCCGAATTTGAAGAGAGTTGGAGGAAGATCATCTGGTCCCACGGCTTTGTTCCACTTCAACATTCCGATCTCACGTTCGACTTCCTAGCGAGAGTGTGGATCCAAAAGGACAGCCCACGGAGCGAGGCGATCAGTGACAGACGAATCGAACAATTCTAGCCGATTAAATTGCTTTTTAAAATGCTCAGCCAAACGGTCCAAACGTTTTGACGAATTGTGGATAGGCTGTCCACTCTCATCACAAATTGTTTCACTAACAAAACGTCTCCTGCTGCCCGTTTCCCCTATCAGAGGAATAACATACGATGGTTACCAAGGGCAGAGGCCACTTCCATCTCTGATGCACGAACAGACCACCAAGATTGGCTGTCTCTCTTCAGGCTAGCACGGAGTTTTGCCCGGAGCTCTTTGCGAGTTTCATTGTGAGCGCTTCCAGCCGGGATATGCCGGCGAGCGTCGATAAGTTCCAGAGACCGAGAAGAGACCCGATGACTATGTTGGCGATTAGACATACCACAAGAGGATATGCCTGCTGCTAGCACGATCTGGCGAACAGGTGACCATTTACTATCAATTGTCTCCAGTGAGCGGTTACTCAACTCGCATGTCAGCGTACTTTGATAGGCATTCAGAACAGCTGGCTTTTTCAGTTGGTCGGTGTCAATGCGCTCACATCGTCGTCGTAGGCGTGCGCCAAAATGCACCTGCATGTCAGCACATACATGTGCATGATCGGTGTCCACACATGTGCTCCAAATCGAGCGACAGTTCTGGATGCAGCCTCTCCAGCGGCAATCTGATCGATCTGCTTTCAAGGCTTGTTCGAGGTTGGTGGGCGCCAAGTCACCCTCCGGCGGGTGCTGTGTCAGAAATTAGTGCTCACAAGAAATAAGCGAGCATCCTCACACAAATGAAGCAACCGCTCACCGTTACCATTACGGAAGCCTACACCATGTTGGTCGCCCAGGTGCAGTTCATCAGTGGACAACTGTCCAACTTGAACGTTCTTATCCCCCGCCGGCACAACAGTGTCCGTGCTTCTTCTGTGGCGGAGGAGCTTGGTCAGTTGGCGATAGAAGTCGTGCTTTACCGAATCGTCGCTACAGTTTGTCAGCGCATTGGCGGCGAAGATGAATAGACATTTGTTAGTCCCGCGCCACTTCGAAGCTTTATACGAGCCAGCCAGTCGGAGCGCACACATCCGGCTACTGATTGGAATCCAACCAACCAGAGCAGTTTCAGCCCGGGGACTGTGCTCGCATCTGCATCTTCACCGGATAGGTGCAATTAGAAAATACTGCCTGCCCCACCTAAAGGGGATCGCAGATTGAGCACAGTGCTCGAGTCTTGCAGGCGAGTCTCTGATAAGCAGCAGATATCGATCGAGAGGTTCTCCAGTGTTCGGGCAAGTGCTGCATGTTAACCGATTTTTAGCAGTGTGCGTACATTGAGGCATGCCACGCTGAAGGAGGATCAAGGACTCCAAATGGATGCCAATGAAGTGGAATGGACCGCTTAGTTGGACGTGGGCTTGTGGACAGAAGAGGAGTGACGCTCCGCTTTCACATGTGAGTTGAAATTACCAGGCATGTTGGGGGAGGGCTAAGAATCGGGGGTTGGAAACTGAGGGGATATAAGTGAAGTTGGAAGGGGGCGGTAAGAGTGAAAAAGCGTAAGAGGGGAATAATAAGACGTAACGGTTTAATCAGTAGCATCCACACCCTTATCCACCCTGCTCGATCCAGCAGATAGGGCGCCGTTGATTATCCTCCACGGTGACCAGAGCATCAGAAATTTCTTTGAAGTGCGATTTATTGTATTGCGTGGGCAGGATACTGTCAGGTTGACTAGGCCTAGACAGGAGAAAGAGTAAATTTCTCAACCAAAGCCTTTGGTTCTAAAACCTGACCGCAAGGCAGCGAGTTTTGCGGTGGGCTACAAGGAGTCTGTTTTTCTAAGGAATAAGGTGCCACCCTCATTCCAACACCCAACCTGGTGGTTGAGTTTGTCTGGCCTCTAACTATTGACCAATCTGGTATGAATGACTCTGAAGGTGCAAAGCACCACCCAGCATAGCTCAATGGATCGCTGAGTCAAAAAACCATCGCACCACGGTTTGATGCTTCAGCCTTATATGACGTGACTCCCTCGTGTAAAACAACGTATGCTTGCATTCTTCTTGTCTGCGGTCCTTTCTTCATTCGACCTTTTAAGCTCTCTTCTGGCTACCTTCCTTATCGCAAACGGTCAGTGTGCACATGCTCCTTGCTAAATGCTCAGCTGTCACTTACTCGCCTGCGACACCTAAGTACCTGTAGTTCAGCTCGCTCACTGACTTCTGCCGGCTAAGGCTTCCTTAGGTATACTCCATTAGCACCCCAGCATGATTTGATTATCTGCGCGTCGATGCGTCTTAGCCTTTTATGCTCTGAACTATTTGACAACCCCAGTGCATGCTTGCGCTTCACCAGTTCACTGTCCTTCCATCACGAAACCTCTCTTAGCTTTCTTCTGTCGCGCAAGCATATCCATGTATTCAGCGCAAGCCGCTGTTTTGCCTCACATTTCTAGATGTACATTCATTCCTTACTCTCTGTATTGGCTTAGGCTCTTTTACCTGCAATCCGCCAACTCTCGGGCTAGCATTCCCTGGCTCTATCCAGCTTGGTACTATTACCTTAGTACCATAGCTGCTGCGGTTAGGCCACATCATCTGATATCCTCAGCAACCCTAATGTACTTTTGCATTCCGGCTATTCGCCGCCCTTTCGTCAATTAGCCTTTCTCAGCATTTTATTTTATCCCTCCTCACATCTGGTCCGCACACAGACGCCCGTTAGCTTCTCATTTCTAGGTATTCATTTCTCACTTACTCGCTGCTATTTTTGCGACACTTACTCATGTGTGAGTTCAACCGTCTCACTAGCTTTTCCTATATCACCATACCCTAGCACCATTTTCTTAGGACCTAGAATAGTTCGTTTCTCTGCACGCCCCGTGGATATCCGGGTAATTCTATCCAACCCACGGACACCGAGCTCCTGCTCGCATACTGACGATAGCAAACATTAAAGATTGGAGCAGCACAACTACAAGCACAAAACACACAGCCGTATACACATACACACACAATGACATACATACATACCCCCTACACAAACACAAACTGCTATGGCAAACATATCGGATTTTTGAATATTCTTGATCATGCATCGTTATGTCAAAATGATCATGCCTGTAAAGCCTGCCTCACCTTGTTGAGAATAAAAGATTTATTTATTTATTTATTTATAAATTTGTTCCGCACTTTCGCTTTCTTCTAATTGATCTATTTTACTACACTCCATCGATCAATCTTTTCTCACCTAGTGTTCTTTGTCCGCTTTTGCAGCAAAGGTTTCGACACTTACTTAGGTAGGAGGTAAGCACTCGCACTGGCTTTTCTCATCTCAGTCGGCTATAGCACGATACCCTTAGTACCCTCGTGTCGTCTTTCTGTCTTGCTCCCCCGAAAATTTTTACTCAACGATTGAGTCCTATCTATCTGCTGATTTACTCCCAATTGACCTTTGAAGCTCTTTCGTCGCTAGTCATTTATATCTTTTCTTGCTTATTCTGCTCTCCCTATTGAAATAAACTAGCTATTAGCTGTTCATTCACCATTCAAACGCCGCTGGCCATTGAATTCTGCATTCCGTCTTCCAACACAATATTCGCATCATAGCAAACCGATACTGCGTGGTTTTCTTAATGGCGTGACGCCCTGTATTCCATGTACATGGTAGCGACCAACCTATATGGCCATTGCTTTCGTAGAACATTTAAAATACACTTTCAACACAATCATTGTTGTACACTGTACGTCATTTGTCTCCACTCTAAAGGTTATAACATAGGACGTTAACAATGTTTGTTTCCACCCATGTTCTTTGCGGCCTCGGTTGTCTCTCACCTTCCCGTTTTTCCGAGGCACGGAACTTCTTGGGGACCTGGGATTGAAGCAAGAAACATTTGTTGCCCGAGACAGGACATAGTAAACCACAAGGACCTACAAAGAACATGGTTGTACAACAAATGGATGCAACTGCACTCACTACCACGACCGTTGTCCGGTAATGATAGCTGGACACGAGGCCTTCACACTGCTGAAAGTATACAGAAACCTGAAAAATCCAGACGCAAGAAACTGATGTTTTGCTTACCTGGATACTCACAAAGACAATTCTTCTTGAAGCTCTTATCCTCCATTGGTCTCAGCCATTTTGACGGCACTGAGCAAGTTCAAGTTCAAGTGAGACCGGAACAGTAAGAAAATCCCGCAAATGTTCCACCTTCGAAAACCTCGTTGATCCAACAGGGAAACCTGTGCCTTGATGCGCCAAAGGAGAGCCAAATCAACACACACGATTCACCTGGTCAACCAAACATTGCCAACCCCTGGTAGCACATGTCCAGTTCCTGTCCAGTTTAGCATCATAAACGTTCCAATGAGAGCATTAGGCTAAACTAGACAGGAACTACTACTGTGAGACGGATAATAAGGGATTTTGTCCAGTTTAGGGGGGGCCAATGGAAATGATGCTAGCGTTAACCAATAGAAAATCACCACTATGCGTGAAAATCCGGTAGGTCCAGATCCCGTCCTAGACTTTCCTGCCTATCCTAATACGGACGTCACACTACTACGCACTTAGCAGCTAACTAAGTTATGGACGGTTCGGAGCTGACGTTCACCCAGTACCTGTTGCCGTAGTTGCTGGACGTGGGAACCCACCTAGGCGGCGTTTCAAGCTGTTGGTCAGGAAACGAAATGCATCTTACCGCGCACCTGAGAACATCACAAGGTGACAGAAAATGAAAACAGGGGTATAAGAATTCTATATGTACATGAAGGGGTGTAGTAAAAGGATCGTTAATATCAGAAAGCGGCATTGTCCATATTGTTAATCAACTTCAGCGAGTGTCAAGGTAGGAGGCTAAAGTTTTGCATAAGGAAGCAGGGGACTCACCTCATTCGCACTGCATACTTTACTTTGCTCAATAGGCGGTCTCTTGTGCCGTGCGGAATGCAACTAAATAAATAAATAAATGGTATATTCCTCGGTGGTTCGAGATAAAGTCCAACTACGTGGTGCGAAATGTCAGCGTCGGAGGCTGCATCACCCACGCTTTGCGGAATCAGGCCTTGATAGTGTTTATGGATTACTGTATGTCAAACTACCTTGTGCAAGACCGTTAATATTTTTTCGCCTGAATGCAAACAAGCTTTCTGCGCCGGAGTAATTCATCTCCGCGACAACTGATCTTATCATTAGCCGCTCCATTGTAACCTGGACGACGATTTGCACGTTAGCACCGTGCAAAGCACACAAATGGTTGACCTAAAAGCCGTGGAATAATAAGCTAAACTTACGAATCTGTTTTTGAAACCTTGGTCCTTCAGCCTTTCATCATATCTTTAAGCTCATAGAGAGATGAATGGCAGAGAAAGTCCCGGTTGCGACACTGGGACTGTCACTGCAGCACCTGCAACATTGCTTCGGACGTGCGGCCATGGGCGACCAGTTCTAATCGCATGAGACATAGCTCATCTAAATATAAAGTTGAGTGCAATGCAATGCATTTGTGACGTGTTACACTTGATTGCCTTCAGTTCCTGCAGCAACTGCAGGTGGCACGGTGCAACGTCAGCAACAACAGCGGGTGCGATTACTGTTTTGTGGGGGCCGTATGAACGCGATAATTACGGTTGCTTGTAATGGACCACTTCTTCGGGGTCCCTGTCATCTTCACAGCAGTTGGTAACGTTAGTAGATTGCTGAACTGTGTAAGCAAAGATATTTAAAATATGTTTAAGATTCGCTTACCCTTCTGTCGTTTAACTGCTGACAACAGAAGCACTTCTTCGTAGCTGAATCCTGATGCCTATTTATTCTGCACGGTAAATGTTGCTACTAGACGGAAACTGTGCGGTTACTTGATAGCTTTGTCGACGTGACATGCTGAAAATGAACACATTTGCATTACACAGTATATAACAGGAAAACCTGCTAGGTGCGCCTGCGGAAACGCAATTTCAAGGGAGCTACACAATAGCGACAACCAAGCGGTATCAGCGACCAAGGTTACGAAACCGAAACTGGCCAAATAAAACGACTTGCTGATGCATTTAAAAAACTGGGATTATGGTCAAATATTATCAAATATAATGCATACCAACTATTAATTTATTAACAAATGTCAAACTAAATGCGTTTAGCTACTAGTAATGCATTAATACCTGAACTGGGCATCTGTCCAGTTTATATCCAGTTTGTTAATTTACTGTTACGTTACTGTTACCAGCGACGTGCCCTGCACTAGCAGTCCCCGCTGCACCGGCCAAGTGAAGAATAAAAGAAAACAGTAGTGTCAGTAAAGAAAAGGAAACAGAGGAGAAGACAAGCTTATAGAATATCGTGGGCAATATTAAGATGTAAATTAAAATGAGTTAAAGAAGCGTAGACTGTAGTAGACGAAGAAAAGTTTAAGACATGAATGGGAAGATTTTACACTGCAGACCGAGAGCGTCATTTTGCAGCTCGAACTCGTTCACGGTCGGTGTCAGCACGACGTCTGCAGGCAATGCATTCCAATAAGCTTTAACCCTACACGATAACCGAAAAGCTGCCCAAACCCGGTCAGACCGGGGCTTTTGCAATTTCAATGGGTGGCTACGATGGGTTGACAATCGAGTTAGGCGAAAAGGTCCAGTCAAATCAGGACCAAGCTGACCCATCAATATACGATATGTGAGGACCAAGTCGCCCCGAAGCCGCCTGTAATACATGGAAAGCATATCCAACTTACGTAGCCTCTCCGGATACGTCAGCTTCTTTAATTCGTGCACCATTTTCTTCCCGGACTGCAGGACTCGTACAACTGCCACCTTATCAGGAACCAGGCATGGAGGAAAAGCCTGGACGCAGTATTCCAAGTGCGGCCTTACAAACGCCGAAAATAGTCTAACGAACATGTCGGTGGTCATGATCCCGAATGACCTGCGGATCATCCACAACTTGTTGAAACCTTTGCGAGCAGCTGCCTTCCAGTGTTCACCAGACTTAAAGTCAGATGACAGCAAGATACCTGATCAACTAACAGAGGAAACTGGAAGTCACTTGACTGCGGATAACCAGGTGTGAAATCAGTCGGCAAGCTGCTTTTCCCGTTGTACGTTAGTGTACAAGCGGATTGCTAACAGTGTTCTAGGACGTGGTGGGTTTTCGCCTGGCATGCTTTTTCCCTATAAATAACCACAAATGTCCGTTTAACAACACTGCGACGTGGCGCACGTGACTCGCCACTGATGTCACTCCCGAGGTAGGTCAGGTCAGGTCAGATGGACGATAGAGGCTTCCGCCTAACGAGCGTCTAGTTCTTGTGCCGGTAAGTGAAGCGGCCCCCGGCACTTTGACGTTGGATTGTCTCTTCTTGTTTCTGCAATGGAATGAAGCAAGAACAAGAGCAATCTCTCTACTTTCATATGCCAGCATCAAAATACACTACGTAATCCAGTGCAACTACAATAACTCTGGAAAAAGGATGGCAAGTCGACTAGAATCATAATTTAATAGTTTCCTGACACGTTCAAGAATAAGATACTCCTTGCCTACATGCATCGTTTTCATTACATATATAGTGCGCTGGCTGTTTACACTATGCATGCTAGAACCCAACGTACCTACATTCATTGACGACTTTATTCCTTATGATTTTTTTACAATTTCCGCAGATATACAACTTTCGGCTTACTACCGCTTACATACATAGCAACGTGTTTGATGCGAAACATATTTGAATGTAAATGCTGCTCATGCCAGGTTTGGTGTCTCGACAAATTCGAGAATAAACAACTTATTTATTTATTTACAACGAAGTTTGAAGCTTCCACTGCCTCGGACTCTGTTGGTTCATTGCATTATTCGTCCACACCTAATTCCGGCTAAGAAACTCCCCCAGGTAATCGAAGCCAAGTCCCATCTGCTTCCCAATCGAAGCCTATAGCACAAATTTTGTCTATTGAGCGCGCGACTGATACATACGCAGCCGTGGTGCGAAGAACACACTGTCCCATTTGGTTGGAGTCAAACTATGTGTAACGTTCAGACGAAGTCTAAGTCCAAACCCAAGAAAACTGCTTCCCCGTCCCAAATGAAATCTGTTTTCGACAAGGTCACCAATTTGGCAAATTTGAGCAAGAACAGTGCGTCACCACAGTTGCAGCTCTCTGGCCGTGCTCTACCGCCCTCTCGTGAACACTGTCTTACCGCGGTGAACGCGCTAGCATCCACCAAAGACACCTGCAGAAAGGATGCTGGATGACCAAGGGTACCTTAAGCGGATGGTTTACATTTTATTCGATGAACGTGAATTGGGGATAAACATTATCTATGGTTTCCGCCTGAGCAGGAAGCAAGAGGATGCTTATAAAGTACGCTTCCCAAGGTGATATACAAAAGCGAAGCGGAATGCCGACGCACTCTTCGGCGTGCCCCACGTTTGAAAGGTGAGTCTGTTTAGGTCCTGAAAGCTCTCTCTTCGAAAGGTGGGATTCAAATGAAAACAGTCGTTGATGAGCTCTGGTCCCACCGAGCGAACGGTGAGACAGACCGCCACATCGTGGCTTTTCGCGTAATACGGAGAACCACAAGAACCCGGTGGAAGCCCTTTCTCCTCAACTTAGGACAGTAGAGGATGAGAACGAACGGCAGTGCTGTTTGCCAATGTACGAAGTCTTAGAAAAACCTAATGGGGTACAGGTGCCTGAGTCAGATACTCGCCCAGAGTTGATAACTCACCGAAAAGGCTATTTGAGGACATCATAGATTCATAGGTATCTATCCCCGAATAAAATCTGTCGAGCCGACGGCCTTGGAGGTAAGTCCGGTGGCGATTTCATACTTTACTAAAAGGCCGAACTCAAAGCCAAGTTGGTTGCAGCTACTGGTGCCGACGATGGCGAGTTTGATGACCTTTGGTGCCGTATTCATCAAGGATGCAAATCCTTCACGATTTGTGTATTCTACAGAGCGCCATCGGGATCCGAAACTCAATTGCTCGATTCGATCAGGATGCACGGTGCAGGAAAGAACCGGCTTAATGGCACAATCTTTTTAATAGACACAATTCCAAAAATAACATTTTACTGCTCATCAAATCTTCTAGCACCATGAAGGAAAAACCAGAACGCCAATGGTCTTGGCAAAATAACGTATTGCTCGCTGCCGACAAACGCTGTACAACTACTGTGGACCATGGCTGTA